ATCACATGCTATTGCGGTGGACGAAAAAAAATTAAGCAGATCTGATTGTCACCAAATTTGGAACGGGAAGACAAAAGCAGACAGACGCAGCTCATTGGACTCAAACGGTTAGGAGACAGGGGGTGCGGGTGCGGATGCAGAAGCCGGAGGGATGCCACGCTTCGGCACGTACAGCGTCTTGCGCTCCACCATGCGAATGCAGTCGGGCACAGGGCACACCGAGAAGCAGAGCGTGCAGCCCGTACAGTCGGCCTCGCGCACCACCGGCAGGTGTGTCTTTGCGTCGAAGTCGATCGCCTGGTAGCCTGTGTCGTTGCACGTCATGTAGCACTTGCCGCAGTTGATGCACAACTCTTCGTCCACCAGTGCCACCACCTGCAGTGCCGCCATCAACAGTCAACCAACGGCACAACTTCCACCACTCAGTCGCTCCAAATTCCTCCAACACACCCTCACCTCTCTCACATGCGTGCATGCATCCCCACATTTACCACCATCCCAAAGGTTCAAAATTAATATTTCTAGGAAAGCAAACCTCTCGTTCAAGATAGCCACCCAACCAGTGAGTAGAGGTGATTTTAAATTCACTTTACATCTAATCGCACTGACGAAATTTCCAGTGCTGTGAATTGCCACATGACCAAAATGCAATCCTCCTTATTTGTCCGATATGAACTCGAATGCCTCCATTTTACAAACCCAATGTGTGTGACCTCAATGACCCGCGCAATGCCACCACCACTTCCTTGTCACATTACACGAGACCGAGTTCTCCAGCAACGTGCACATTTACCAGTGTCAAGATACTACTTCCAAAGGCCGTTACACATTTAACTGCAAGGGCGATTAAATCTACTCTACATTATTGTGTCCAAGTTCCATTGTCAATTCATCCACCCAACAAGATTGTCGAATGTCTATTCTTCCCAAAAGACACATCTGGTCTCTTATTCATCCAAATATTGTGTAGCTCGAATGAGCATGCATCTGTTAAAATACACAGGGAATTTGCACATGTACGGGGATTCGTCCATTCATCTGATGAGCATCCTTTCACAAGTCACAAATCGTTTGATTTTAGCTGTGGAACCAAAACACCACCTAATCACTTCGCCATCACGACAGCAACAGCCAACAAAGCACACTGTGGGAAGTGGCCCAGCCAACAGCATCGATGGGACTAATCAACCACGTCTCAATGGGAGAAGGTAGATCAGAAGTGGAAGCAAACGGACCACCACCACCACCACCACCACCACCACCACCACCACCACCACCACCACCACCACCACCACCACCACCACCACCACCACCACCACCACCACCACCA